TCGATGTTATGACTATTTTGTACCGTGATTTGTTGAGCTTACGGTCTGGATTCAAATATGCATGAAAATACAATACCCTCAACCCGAAAAATGTGATCACTACTACATTCACAAGGAAGAACTGAGATGAGGCATCTGTGTGAACGAGTAGAGCAACAGCCCACACACACATATGAACTCAATCAATAATGGCTAACAATTCTGCACTATTCAAATAATTTTCCTCCTCTATATCTCCTTCATCTGAAGGTAGTTCCACGCAAACGTATGCAGCAGATTCATGGAGAACTAACTTCAATCAGCTGTACTAGTAGTAGTGCCCCTGGTGGAAATCGTGTCCCTGTTCGCTCACGAACTGTCTCGACAAGCTTCCATATCTCGCCGAGTCCATCTGCATTAGCTGCAATTATTCTTGGACCGCGATGACCCCTCAAGATATTCACTGTTACCGTGAAAACCTTAATGCGTGTATAACAACAGCTCATACATTCGAAATCCTAGTCAGCGATGTGTGTTGTATCCAAGGTTCCAGCTTCAACATGCGATTAACGTTGACGTGATTCTCAGCGGGATAGATGAAGCCGCGGTAACACAGTGGATAGATCTCAGTCAGCTGTCGGCTCTGTGTAGTGCGACTTCAGGGCTCCCAAAAAGCAAGCAGTTATCGCTCGGATAGACGCAAGTAGATTGTCGTTTCGACGTACACTCCAGATGCAGCTAGAAATCTGCTACGAAAAAAGCATATATTGTGATTTGAGCAGTAGATATCAACACTGGAGTAGGTAGGAAACTCACTGATTTTTCATCCGTACGTATATATATGGGAGATAAAAGTTGATACAAGATCGGGTGTGAAAGCATTTTGAATAGTTACGAGTAAGGACCAATTACCGTATATAGTCCAACGGTTGTTGTCTTGCAAAACTTGGATAAGAAGCCCAGTAGCGCCGTAGCATGATGCGATTATTTGTTTCGCTGGCCACTTCCTTCTTCTCCGTCGGCTAGACAAGTTAGCGGTCAAAAATAAAACAAGAAAATGTAGAAAAAGAACGAACTCTCGGGCGCGGCAAATGGTGGGAGTAAGGTTAAACAGGTACACACAAGGGGAGATGACTAAGAAAGTTGTTGGCATGAAATGATGTAACATTAAGGTCAAAATGAGGAACAATGAACTTATGGGTTATCCGTTCGGATGAGGAGTCTGACCTGATCACCTTCTTGTGAGATTATGATAAAAAATCCCTCCCTCTCCCAAACGAAAAAAAACACTAGAAGTGAAACACACACTAAGTGGAAAAACTCTGGGAAGGATCAAAAACGTGTGGCGGGGCAACTGAGAATTGGAAACAGCAAAAAAAAACAAACGCCCAATCCGATCAAGGCGTGNAATCCGATCAAGGCGTGTCGAGCCAAGTTGAAGGACACTAGTTGACGAGCAAGTGGATGCAATCAGCAACTGTTCGTCCAGATGGTATTGCACTGGTTCCAACATTCCGTTCGAGGTAAAGGATTCTAGGTACTAGAGGGACGAAAACTATTTGTCCATCCACCATAGCCTCGCCCCCCCCCCCTCTCTCTCTCTCCTGTACCCGGTATTCACTGTGCTCGAAGAGAATGGGAATAAACGCGGATTGGAGCTAATGGAATGCCGCAAATGGAAGCGAGAAAACAGTGCAGAATCAATCAATCGTAGGGATGAATAAAACAAAGACAAAGCCACCATTGAACGAGAAGAACTCCAGCGTCTCACTATCGATAGCATCAACGTCACATACCAATTTGATGTTCGATTAATAAACGTCACGCTTTTGTATTCCCTCATAATGGTTTCGGTGAAAGCAATGTCCCCACGAATGTCCGATGGTTTAGTTTACGGCTAAAACAAAGAGGTACTGACAGACATGTCTGGTGTCCATTTTTTGTCTATGGGCACGGATCATTTGTTCCGGGGATTAAAATCGGATTGCCTTCGGCAGCCCTCAACCAGCAAGCAATGATTTATATAGCATACAGGGGGAATCTGCCTTTGTGCCCTAATTAGTCTGTGGATTGAGAGCACAGGAGAAACAAACAGAAATGGCCCAAATTGTCTTGTTCGACACAACAATACCTGATCAGCATAACAAAGGTGAATTGTTGATCACAATTTGAATTCGATTCCGAGATGTGCCAGCGGGGTTTAATACCGGCTACCAATCGTCTTCAGAGCACTATTAAGAAATCGACTTATAATCTTAACTGTGAGGGAAAGTAACATCAGCTTTTGGTTTAGTGGCTTGAAGACCCATCAACGATCATCACCATCAATGATTGATTTAGATCAAACGTGAATAATGTTCGATTAAACGCGCGAACCGAAACTGGTCGAATGATAAGCAGCGTATGTCATTGTGTTTCTTTTACAATTCCTCCGGGAATGAATCACACAAACCAGTGTCATCTGTAAATAAAGCTAATGAGGATTGTATCATAAAGAGATAACAACATACGAGGACTGAGTAAAACATTTCCGGATATGCAGTACACGACGAGTACGAGGTGCAGATGACCGGGCAGGGAAAATGTGAACTGCAACCTACTGTAACTTTCAGAACCGAATATCAACAGCCGAGTAAGGCGCACGAGTCATAAGGGTCGCTATACTCGGGCTGTAACGATGGAACTAAGCTGATGTCACCGCAGGGCGGCGAGCTTCTACGACTACAAATGTGGTTTAAAGCAGTAGCAATAGCAGAGTGTTGATCGTTTGCGAGCCACCTTTGGTGCTGACGGTTCTTCAAGGGGCACTGTATCCCCAAATGTCAAGCACATGATGTGTGGAAGCCAATACGAGTCAGCAACAGCTGCGATGTAGGCCTTCATGAGACTGGTCGAAAGGTCACTCGCTTCGACATAGTCGAGCTGTTGCACCAAACGGTTTGAGTTTATTGAACTGTGTATGTATGAACGCCGGTGGAAGATACTTCGAAAAAATTTAATACTTATTTTTGTGTAACAAATGAAAAGTTTTGTGCATCTGGAAACGTTTTGCTCAGCCCACTTAAACGTCCGATTGACCTAGGGTGAGATAATCACTGCAAAAGACGGAGTGATGAATGGTTACAGTCCACGATTGATTGGACAATTATCACCTTTCGGACAACGTTAGTGTCTGTCGTTTAGATTGAACAGCGATCAGTATATCTCCCGACCGATTTCTACGATACGCGATCAGGAAGAAAATAACACTGTCCTGTTGGTGTGAACGCTAGACGAAAAAAGCAAACGTGATACAAGAGGACGAGGACGCGACAAAACAGACGCCAGCGAAAAACACAACGATATCACGATATCAGACCGAGGGTTAGTCAGAGCAGGAAAAGCGAGTAGTGAGGGTAAAGCGGTTTGAATGGATCAACAGGATTGCAGGATAGCAGCACCCCTGGCTCAATATGTTCTCCAAGTCATAGCTCGACTGGCGGCTTACCAAATCCTTCGAGGAAGTTTGTAACCTGTTATAGATGGCTTGTACTTTGGCTGATAGCTACACGGGGATGTGTTGTAACAAATTTGTGGTGGTAAAGGAAGGAGCGATGAACGAACCAAACACGGGAAAATAATGAGCATGGTCGTCAGGATGCTAAACGTAACCGCTCGAAAAAATATCACACAAATTATTGCTTATTCAAACTGGACGTAAAAGTGCGAAAAGAAAAAAGTATGAGAAAAGCGAACAAGTTGCGTAGCATGAACAAAGAACGCAGTAACACATACACGACCAAATACTTTTCCACGAAAATATGTATGCCATTATGTGTGTGATACACAGGCTGA